GCCCGAGGTGCCGGGGTTGCGGGTCCATCCCCTGTCAAAGCACAGGGAATAAAACTGTGCAGCTTTTTCTGTCTGCCAGTGGATGCATGAGTGGGTGGACCAACAAATCACTTTTTCTCCTTCTCTCTCTAAAGTCAATAACTTAAAATAAAAAAAATTGCCAATGAGATGCTGAAAAGGAAAGATAGGAGCCCTGGCCGGTGGCGCAGTTGGTTAGAGCGTCCTGCCTCTGGTCAGGGCACGTAGGAGCAGCAGCCCATGAATGGATAAATCAGTGGGACAACAAATCCGTGTTTTCCTCTCTCTCCCTCCCATTTCCTCTCTTATTTTAAATAAATTTTAAAAGCCCTGGCTGGTGTGGCTCAGCTTGCTGGGCATCACCCATCCCGGAAAGGTCGCCAGTTCCATTCCTGGTGGGGACACAGGCCCAGGTTTTGGGCTGGATGCCTGGAAGGGGGCCTGCAGGAGGCAGCCGGTCAGTGTTCCTCTCTCACATCGATATTTCTCTCCCTCTCCCTCTCCCTCTAAAAAAAATCAATAAAAAAAAATATTTTTAAAACATTTTTAAAAAGAGAGGAACCTAATAAAAGCAGCACGGTTTTATGTATATTAAATTATTAAGGAATAATTACCTTTAAAACGACCCGAAATTTGCTTGTGGACGTGGATTCCAAGAAGGGGTGGGGGGCTTGTGCATTATGGTGAAGTAGTGGAAGGACTTACCTGAAGTCAGGTGGAAAGTTGTAACGCTGGGTGTGGAAAGGTAGGGCAGGTCACACAGGGTCAGATAGGTACTTGAAGGGCATGTGTGTGCGCATTTTGTATATTCCTGCTCAGTGGGTTCTCATAGTAGCAACTAAAACTCTAAACTCCCTAGGAATTAACCTATCAAGAATTATATAAGATCTGTATGAATAAAACTGTAAATGTTATTAAAAATATCCAGATAAATGAAGGACACGTTTCTGGGTGGGGAGATCCCATATTTTAGAGATCCAGTTCTCCCCAAATTAATCCATGTACTGAGTGTATTCCCATCAAAATTGCAATAGAATTTGTGTAAGTTTGGCAAACTATTTTTTTCTGTTTACTTAGAAGAGAAAATAGACAAGAAGTCAAGACAATTTCTTGTTAAAAATGATGGAGGTGGTGATAGATGGCCATTCCCTCTTAAATAGCAAAACGTTTGATAAAAGTGTAAGAAAAAGTGCAGTGTTGGAGCAAGAATAGGCAAATCCACCAGTGGAACAAAAATATACCCAAGTATAAGTGGAAAACTAGTTTATGAAAAATGATCCCAAATCAGTGGGACAAGAACAGACTATTCAATAAGTTTTGTGTCAGTTGACTATCATTTGGAAAAACAATTAAGTTCCTTCTTGTTATGATACACAGAAATAAATTTCATATGGGAAAAGTTCTCATTGTAATAAAGCTATAAAAATGTTATGTAGCCCGGCTGGGCGTGGCTCAGCGGTTGAGCGTCGACCTAGGATCCAGGCGATCAGGGTTTGATTCCTGGTCAGGGCACATGCCTGGGTTGCGGGCTCAATTAATGACTTTCTCATCATTGATGTTTCTGTCTCTCTCTCTCCCTCTCCCTCTCCTTTCCTCTCTCTGAAATCAATAAAGATATATTTTTTTAAAAAGTTAAAAAAAATAAAAGTTGTGTAAATTGATGAGAAGGAGCCGGAGTCATTTTGAAGCAATCAGGACCGTGTGTATTACATATGCACTTTCAGGTACCTCTGACGTTTGAGGATGTTGCCATTTACTTCTCAGAGCAAGAATGGCAGGGTCTGGAGGCCTGGCAGAAGGAGATTTACAAGCGTGTAATGACGACCAATTACGAGATTCTGGCTTCTCTAGGTAAGAAGTGTTCAGCTTTGTGGGTAAGTCATGGAGCTGGCTTCTGTAAAAGGGCCAACAGTCATTTGATGTTCCTGTTTGTCAGGTAGCCAGATTTCTCAGAAATTAGCTCAAAAAGGCACCTTTACCCCATATTCTTCTGCTATTACTCCTGTCGGCATCACTAACCCTTACTCAAGGGTAGACATTGTTACCTGAGAATACCTGAGGCAGCATGGATTGTGAGGTGGTCAGGGGTGACTAAATAAGTATGTTTCAGGGCATTTAGTCACCATGTACTCTCAGGTGTGGTAGTGGTGGTGGGTGGGGTGGCATTTATTTTATTAAATTTATTCTTAAGTATTTTACTCTCTTCAATGTTATGTGAATATCATTTTGTTTATTTTTGGAAAAATAGCTGTATTTTAAAAGCTGCTGGGAGTTCAACCCAGATGAAGATTGATAATAGATGTATGGATTTAAATATAAGATAGTGATTTCTTTTTTCATGAGACCAGCCTTAGAATTCTTTAGGTGTTGAAGTCAAGTTTCTGAGGCTGAGGAGGAATCGGGAGCAGTGTGTGATCAGTCTCCACCTGTACATGCCACTCTGACATTTTATCCCTGAGGTGATGCCCAGTTTGTCCTCTGTCTCTTATCTGGACCATCTACTAATGTCCTTTAGCAGTCCATGAAGCATACTTTTGGTTGTATTAAACATACACATTATTGAAAGAAAGTTTTACTTGAAAATACAGAGAGTAAACCTTTCTTACAGGGGAATGGGAACATGCATTAGAGAATCTTGTAACTATTTTAATTCATTTCATTCATTGCAACTCCTACTAGTCTAGCAGAACTCAGCTGCGTTTTAGGTTGTCGTTAGCTGTCACTAGAAGTACTTCTGAGAGTATTTTTGCTGGAGCCACCTACTTTGAAATTTCCATTCCAGTTCTCATTTTTATATCCCCCTCTTCCCATGGGTCTCCAGTTGTCCCAACAGTTGTCCCACCATTCCGAGAGCACATGTCTAGTGAGTTTTATGAAATCCCTGACAAAATGCAGCATTGTTAGATATATGGTGGCAAAGACAAAATTAAAACAGCACAATTCATCAAACAGGCCCAGACAGCTTATCTCATTTTCCATGTGGGAAGTTTTGCTCTTCTTTGTGTGAATCTATAATCTATTTTTTGACATCTCTTCCCCTACATTGTCCCAAGTAAACTTTAAGAAATTTAAAAACAACTCTGTGCTTTAAATTTCACACTCAAGGAAACCAAACTCCCTTTGACTTCTCTGTGCAGATGGTGGGCTTCCCAAACCGGAGCTGATCTCCTGGATTGAACAGGGGAGAGTGCTCTTCAGGAATTTAGGAGAACCCCAGAACTCAGGAAACATAATTTGCAACCCTGCTGACTTGTATTTTGATCCAGTTGTTGAGGGACAGCAGTTTTGGGGTAAGTATGAAGAAATCAGGGGCCCTGCCTTAAGATGTCACACTCAGGTTTCTTAGTTCCAGTTCTCTGATCTTGACTTTTTGTTTGGCTGAGCTGAGGCTTGACATCTGGTAATGGAGTCTAGTGCTTAGGAGTATGGGTTCAGGAGCCTGACCCTGGATCTTGCCTTTTCTGGGTGACCTTGGGCAAGTTATTTAACCTCTCAGTATTTCATTCCTGACCTATAAAATGAAGCTACAAAAAGTACCTGCATTATGGGATTAAAGTGTTGAAATGCTACCTGGCACACAGTAAGAGCTCAGTAAGTGTGAGCTGTTCTTAGTAGTGGGTGGAGGAGTTGCTTTCTCCTCTTTGGAGACTTGTCTCTGTTTGAATGGCTAAATCTTAGCTCTCCTGTCGTTTCCTGTTCTGATGCAGAGTCTGAGACTTTCGATGCCTCAGATACGGAATGAGAAAGTCAAATGGGGGCATCGTTCTAAGAGATCTTGTCAGTAGTTTGTTTAGCTTTTAGCTGCTGCTTTCTGGAGAGTGTAAGTTTTTCTCCACAAATTATTTTACTTTTTGCTGCCTGTATTCCTTCAGGAAACCTTTTTTTTTAAAAAAAATCCTCACCTGAGGATATTTTTCCCATAGCTTTTCAGAGAGAGTGGAAGGGAGAGAGGGAGGGAGGAATATAGATGTGAGAGAGGTGCATCGACCGGCTGCCTGCGTGCATCCTCACCGGGTTCAGGGATGGAGCCTGCAATAGAGGTACGTGCCCTTGACCAGAATTGAACCCGGGACTCTTCATTTTGCGGGCTGACGCTCTAACCACCAAGCAAAACCGACCAGGGCTCAAAAAACAGTCTTAAAAGGTTGGAAGGAATAGTGTAAAGAGGGAGGACAGAGACAACACCTTGCTCCTGGCTTAGGAGCATCTCATGGATCGCACAGAGCCACATGCCAGTCAGGGCTCTGGCAGTGATCCTGCTGTTCCTTCTTGACTCCAGGACTGTGCACATCAGAGAGAGGCTTGTCAGATGGTCCTGCAGGCATAGCCGTGGTGAACTTGACGGAGGACGTGCAGCCCACCAGGCCCACGCTGAGCACCCAGCACATGTTAACTCAATTCATTCTCAGGACAACCTCATTGTCCCCCCGTTTCTACAGGAGAAGGACCTGAAGCCCAGACAGAGGAGCTTGACAAAAGTGGCAGTGGGCACATGGGGTTCGAACCCAGGCAGTCTGGTTCCAGAGCTTAGGCTCTACATTTGTGATCTGAGTTCTCCTCTTTTCAGTATTATTCTAAGAAAGTCTGTTCGGTATAGTTTCAGCTGACTCTCACCAAACTCCTGGTTATGAAATAGAACCAATGGAAATGTACCCTGGGTACAGCTCAGTGGAAACTGGGGCTGAGGCCACCGTGGGTCACTGTTATGGGTCACTTTACTGGTCACATAGCCTTTGGTCGTGCCATAGATAGGAATTCTGACTGAATTTTTGGTTTCAGTTTCAGGAGGCCAGCAAGCTGTGATTTCAGAAGAACCCGAGTGCCATTTTCAAGTCGATCCACTTGAGAGCCAGGGCTCCTCTGACCCCTTATTAGGAAAAAATGAAGACGTTTCCTTCAGGCGGGACCAAGGCATCACCCTCATGGCACTAGACACACACGATCCGCGGGCTCTACCCCCAGCAGCCCACCGTTCCAGGAAATCCACCCACAGAGAAAGAATCCCGAACCCCAGGACTCTGGGTCCACCAGGCCTCCAGGAGGTGCCCTCCTGGGAGGGCGCCCCACACCCCTGCCCTGTCTATGGGGAGAGCTCTTGGAAGAAGAGTCACATGGAGAAGCACCAGGGGAGCCACTCCAAGGAGCAGCCGGATGGGGCCTGGAAGAAATTCAGCAAGCACGCTGACCTGCAGCCCCAGCATCATCAGCGCAGCATCCCGGAACAGAGGCACTTTCGGTGCCATGAATGTGGGAAGAGCTTTCGCCTAAAGCGGAACCTGCCTAGACATCTGGCCACCCACCCGGGGAAGAGCCCACTGCCCTGCCCGGAATGTAACACGTGCCTTCATCACAAGCAGGCCCTTCTCAGCCACCACCTTCCACACCAGGGGGAGAGGTCCTCCCAGTGCCCCAGGTGTACCACGGGCTTCCTCCCGAAGACCGGCATGCGGGCTGATCAGGGCCAGCGCAGCAGGGCCAGGCCAGGCTCCAGCAGAGAAGGCGACAAGGCCTGTGACAGGGCAGAGCTGAGCGGTGTGCACTCAGAGAAGCCAGGCCCTCGTCCGGCTCGTGAGGGGCGCTGCCACCTGTCGGGGGGCACGGAGGTCGTCCCCCAGCACTGCCCTGCCAGGGAGAGGCCATTCTCTTGTATGGCATGTGACAAGTGCTTCTCCACCAGGGTCAGGCTCGCCAGTCACGTCCGGGTGCACGCGGGGGAAAGGCCCTTCCCATGCCCGGAGTGCGGCCAGAGCTTTGGCCTGCTGCAGGGCCACCAGCGCGTGCACAGTGGGGAGAGGCCCTTCTCCTGCAGGAAGTGCGGCCAGGGCTTCAGCAGACAGTGCAGGCTTGCAGAGCACAGCCGGGTGCACAGCGGGGAGAAGCCCTTCTGGTGCGCGGAGTGTGGCCGGAGCTTCCGCCAGAGGGGCCCACTGCTGCGCCACCAGCGGCTGCACACGGACCAGCAGCCCTTCCAGTGCCCCGAGTGCGGGCTGAGCTTCCGCCTGAAGAGCATGCTGCGGGCCCACTGGCTCCGGCACGGTGGCCAGAGGCCCTTCTCCTGCGACGAGTGTGGCCGCGGCTTCACGCACCAGTGCAAGCTCCGCGAGCACCTGCGCGTGCACAGCGGGGAGCGGCCCTTCCAGTGCCCTGAGTGTGACAAGAGCTTCCGCCTGAAGGGCATCCTGAAGGCCCACCAGCGCACCCACAGCACGGAGAGGCCGTTCTCCTGTACCGAGTGTGGCAAGGGCTTCACCAGGCAGTCCAAGCTCACTGAGCACCTGCGTGTGCACAGCGGGGAGCGCCCCTTCCAGTGCTCCGACTGCGGCCGCAGTTTCCGCCTCAAGGGGCAGCTGCTGAGTCACCAGCGCCTGCACACGGGCGAGAGGCCCTTCCAGTGCCCCGAGTGCGACAAGAGCTACCGCGTGAAGGCCGACATGAAGGCCCACCAGCTGCTGCACGGCGGCCAGATGCCCTTCTCCTGTGAGTGTGGCAAAGGCTTCGCGAAGCAGTCGAAACTCATAGAACACATCAGGACACACACGGGGGAGAAGCCTTTCCAGTGCCCCAAGTGTGACAAGAGCTTCCGCCTGAAGGCACAGCTGCTCAGCCACCAAGGCCTGCACACAGGGGAGAGGCCTTTCCACTGCCCTGAGTGTGACAAAACCTTCCGGGAAAAGGGACACTTGCTTAGGCACCAGCGCATACATAGGCCAGAGAGGCCGTTTGCCTGTGGCGACTGTGGGAAGGGCTTCATTTATAAGTCCAAACTTGCCGAGCACATCCGCGTGCACACAAAATCCTGTCGTGCTCCGAGTGAGCCCGACATTCAGAAACGGCTCAGCCAGCTGTTTGCCATGATCGAGGCCGACTGGAGCTGAGACAGTGGTGGCCGTCCAGATAGGCTGTCAGCAGTTCGTGGTGCCTGAGGATCCGCAGCAACCGTAGGTGTTAGGAACAGGGGCCCTTTTCTTGAGCAAGAATGTAATACAGGTTAGGAGAATGAGCAACCACTGAGGATTTTCGTCCTTAAATCATCACCAGTTATATTTCCTAGCCATTGATAAAGAGAGACATTTGTCCTTTCTACCATCTTAAGTGGTAATTTCCCTGCAAGTGCTAAGCTAGCTTTGACATCCCAGCTCGAATTTAGACGGGAAATGCCCCCAGCATTGGCTGTTACACATTAGCTTCCCTTTTTTCATAGTATGATCCTAAGCTGAGGGCTTAAACCCAGTGAATTTTGTTGCAGGCCTGATATGACATCAGATGTGGCTTAGATTGATTTATTTGGAAACTGACAGTAATAAAATGAGTTCTTTTTGAATCGCTGTTTATGTACGTGCTGCAGTTTCACAGCAGTTCCATAGCCGTTATGCATGGTTCCCCCAGGGAAAAGCGGATAGTTTCAGCAAAATTTGGCTAATCTGAGTTGAAGAAACATAAAACTGAAGGTGCTGCCCTGGCCAGTTTGGCTCAGTGATTAGAACCGGGGCCTGCGGACCGAAGGGTCCCAGGTTCGATCCCAGCCAAGGGCACATACCTCGGTTGCAGTTTCATTCCCCATCCAAGTGCATGTGGGAGGCAACGGATCGGTGGTGTGGCTCTCCCACATCAATGTTTCTCCCCCGCCCCCCCCACTCTTCTCTCTGAAAAGCAATGGAAAAAATATCTTCAGGTGAGGATAAAAAGAAAGAAAAGAAAAGGAAGGCGCTAAAATGTATGGGACTAGAATTTAGCTAAGAGGTCGGGAAAGGCGGTGTTGACCTGGGAGCTCCAGAACAGAGACACTATTTGCAGCTGGGAGTGGATGCGGCTCCCATTCATAGACAGTGGCTGTACAAGCAGATGAATAAAACCCAAGATAAGACAAAGGAACAGGCGGTGGCAGCTTAGTGTGGAGAGTTTTCAAGCAAACATTAAAAGTAAATGCTATACAAGTAGAAGTCCAGGAAAATACCGCTGTTGGTATGTTAGGTGAGGATTTTTATGCTTCAGGGACAGAGGTGTATTTCACGCAAAGAATTCCTGGCTTTCAGGGGGTTCACGTTTCATGTAACAGAATGGCTGGCCTGAAATTCTGAGGGATGACAGAAAATGAGATTGTCGGTAAACTGTAACAGATGTGACTATGAAACAATATATCACCGATGATTTTGTGTGGAACACTAGCTCCAAAGATATTCTAATAAAAATTACATGGACAGTTTGTTTAAAATTGAACAACTCTTTCACCCCCACCCCCCAACAATCCATGACTCTTCAAGAGGAAGACCTCAGGTGAAGCATATTCTGAATATACTCGACCTTGGGGTCCTTTTCTTTTTCCTAAAACACTGTGAGCTGTGGATCTTCTGCAGGACTCATTTTGAAAAACATTACTGAAGAATAGTCCTGACTCCAACAGAGTAACCCTTAGTTTGTTCAGAAGAGTGAGAGTCCCAGGAAATGAGGTCTTAGATTTTATAGGACAAAGAGAACAAAGGTCTGCTGACCTTTAAGTCAGATTAAACTAATAGTTTTATGAGTACCCTTTCCTCAAGGGATGGACACTAACAAGGGTGGTCGATAGTACTAAGAGATTGTATCATTTAGGCAGGTTTCTAATCACTCGGAGAACCATTGCTGTCTGTTGTGTTTGCAGGGTTGCCAGCCTCACGAAGCACAGAAATAGACTCAGTGTAGCAAAGAAGGGTGGCTGCCTGCCCCAGAGCAGGAAGAATATGACTGAGCCAGGTAGCAGCTTTGAGGTAGACTGAAGGCCATACACCAAAGTCGAGGGGTCAAGTCAATCCCTGATCGGGGCACATACCTAGGTTGCAGGGTTTTTTTATTTATTTTTATTTTTTTAATTTTTTAAAAAATATATCTTTATTGATTTCAGAGAGAGGAAGGGAGAGGGAGAGACAGAGATAGAAACATCAATGATGAGAGAGTCATTGATCGAGTCTGCAACCCAGGCATGTGCCCTGACCAGGAACTGAACCCCGATCGCCTGGATCCTAGGTCGACGCTCAACCGCTGAGCCACGCCCGGCCGGGCTAGGTTGCAGGTTTGATCCCTGGTTGGGGCACATATGAGAGGCAACCAGTTGATGTTTCTCTTTCACATTGATGTTTTTCTGTCCCTCCTCTCTTTAAATATCAGTGAAACATATCCTCAGGTGAGGATTTACTATATATATATATATATATAGTAAATATATATATATATACAGTGATACCTCAGTTTTTGAAGGTCTCCATTGATGAACGTTTCTGTTTACGAACGGTGTAAACCCAGAGTAAATGCTTTGGTTTTCCAACACGCCTCGGAAGTCGAACATGCCCCGCGGCTTCCGCTGAGGGCAAGATCCTGAGGCCCAGCTGTCGGCTGTTGATCCCTCAGTTTTCGAATGTTTCAGAACTCGAATGGTCTCCCTGCACGGATCACGTTCCAAAACCAAGGGACCACTGTACACTGAAAAGGTTGCAGTTTCAATCCCTGGTGAGGGCACATGCAAGAATCAACCAGGGACTGCATAAATAAGTGGAACGACAAACTGATGTGTGTTTTTTTCTCTCTCTCAAAAAAAATGAGTACAAACAAAAAGATGCCCAAGGGCTACCAAACCACGCTGGAAGCTATTGGCTCCTCCTGCCTCTGGGAGGCGCTGTAGAAGCCAAATCCCCGAGCAAGGAAGGCAACGTTCCCAGGATGCCCTGCGTGTCGCCGGGCGGGGCTGACGGGCGCAGGCTCCGCCCCCGGGGCACCGCCGGGACCGCCAGGGCCTCCTCGGGGCACAGACCGGGAGACGCCCGCGGGTACAGGACTCTGCTGGCGCCGGCTGGTGGGAGTGGTGAGGTCTGGGCCGGGCAGAGAGGACGGAGCGCGGGCGCAGGAGGGCAAAGCCGGCTCGGGCTGTTCCGCGCCGTCGGGGCTGCTCCGGCTGTGAGACCCGCAGCCCCGGCCCAGCCTTCAACCCCACGGCGCTCGCGGGTGGGGGGCCCCGGGAGGGCGGTGCCGGGAAATCCGCGCGCACCCTGGGCGCCGAGCTCCCTGAAGCTCAGACTTTAATCTTTATCCATCCAACGTGTGGCCCCCAGAGGGCGCTCTGCGAACACTTGTTGAGTCAACCAAAGGCTCCCTGCGAGTCCTACACGTAGCCACCGATTTTACAGACAGGGTGACTGTCCTGTTCCCCTGAAACTCAGCTTGTGTGCTGGGGACACTGTTGGTAAGGTGCAGAATGGAAGAAAGAAGAACAGAGGGCGTTATGGCTGAGAAAAGGAAAGGAGTCCCATAGGGGGACATCTGATAGTGCAATACTAAACTGCAGTGATAGGGACTGGCACTGTAACAACAGTTCTTTAGAAATGGTAAGGATGGTTGCAACTCTTACTTTAGTGTTAAGTCTTTTAAAGACCCCCAGGGGTGACAGGAACTTAGTTTCCGGATACTTAGCCTAAATTGAAACAATGTTTCCCAAGGAACATGACAATTTCTTGCCTTTTTCACTAATGGAAATAAATAAATAGTAGAATCCTTAGAAATTAATCTAACTCCCTCATTTTATGGACAAGGAAAGTGAGTTACGGACAGGTTGAAATAACTTGCTCTGGGTCATGTATAGTGATTGGGAATACAACTTAGGCTTCTAGAGTTCCAGTTCTGTGCTCTCCCTCCTTCCCTTCAAGAAATATTTATTGGGACTTCTCTCCTTTAATAAATAAATATTAATTATTATTTTTCACAGTATTGCTTCTCTTGGGTTGTGGCTGCCTAACCAAGCTCCTGTCCCACATTTTTTCAGGTTATCAGGAAGCTGTGGGGCATTTTCCTTACTCCCCTTTGTCACCTTCTTCTAGGGAAAGTGATATTTTGATTTTGGGTGCAAAAGGTTTTGAAGAAGTTAATCGATGATCTATCATTTCTTTCTGACATGTCTAATGCGTTCTTAGGGGGCAAATAGTCACTTTTCATTTTAAATTTCATTTTATTGGAGTGAAATATAGTCCCAATTGTAGAGGCTTCCGCAGATGTAACTTTCTTATAAACACGTGAGTGGGTATTTTGGATTTTTTTAATCTTCACCTAAGGATATTTTTTCCATTGCTTTTCAGAGGGTATGGAAGGGAGAGAGAGAATCATCGATGTGAGAGAGACACATCGATTGGTTGCCTCTCTCATGTGCCCTGACCGGGACCAGGTAGGGAGCCTACATCTGAGGTACGTGCCCTTGGACAGAATCGAACCCGGGACACTTCAGTCCTCAGGCCGAGGCTCTAACCGCTGAGCCAGACTGGCTCGGGCAACATGTGAGTGTTTTTAGGATATTGCACAGAAAACATTGAAGACAGTTCTATGCAGACTTTTATCGCACAATACTATAACATGTTTACACTATTATGTCCTGCAAGACTAATATAGTGCTTATATGACCGTGTCCTGTGGTTTATGCTCAGATGTTCATTTAGCTAATCAAACTGCGTATTCGTCTCATGTCCTGTTTCTCCAGTTAGAAATGAGTATTTGCAGAGGTTCCAAATGACTGGCTTCTTTATGTTTTCTCCCCACTGTGCCTGTAAAACAAAGGCCTGTTTATTCAGTGTTCCACCTCGTCCCGGGTGTGAATCTGCTTTATTTGCAGCCTATGTTAACTTTTGGAGGAGGGATCAGCGAAATGATCACAGGCTCTTCCTGGTATCATGTCACCAAAACCTTGCCTCTTTCACGTATTGAAAAGTCTGATTTCTCAAGATCCATTTTGGAACTGCTTATCTGAAATGAGCAAACGTAGAGGACTTTTAAGTGTTACTGGTGAGGACAGGTGTGAAGCCGACCTGAGACAAAAGGGAATGTGTCTGTGGGCCCAGGTGGCCAGCCATCTGTTTCTGATCACAGGAGTAGGACAATCAGGAGCATCAGAAAGAACTTTACAATAGCCTTGGCTGGGTAGCTCAGTTGGTTAGAGCATCGTCCTGATACACCAAGGATTTGGATTTGATCCCCGGACAGGGCACATAAAAGAATCAACCAACGAATGCATCAGTAAGGGGAGCAACAAATCAGTATTTCTCTCTCTCTTTCTCTCCAATCAATCAATAAAAAGAACTTTACACACATGGTAAGGAGTATCTATGAAAGTGATCTCTCTAGACATGATGTTTTTATTGAAAATTTGGGTATATTTATTTTTAAGTCGAGTATATTTATTTTTAAGTCTCTTTTGAAGATGCAGCAGTGATTCGGTGGGTCATTGACAAAGTGGTGAAAGAGTGTAACTGTCCGGAAAATTATCTTCTTCCACCATTCTCTTACAGTTTTCATGCAGGGAGAAAACGACCT